GAGACAAGTTTTAAATATTTACAATAGCCGTAAACAAAAGGTTTGGAAACCACTCCCCCGAAGAAATGAAAAACAACCCGACTTAGAGAAAGACTATATTTAATAGTTTAGTCAAAAGAGACAAACAAGAAAGAATGCCAGGCTTCAAACTTAAGAAAGGTGACAAAGTAAAATAGAAATACCTAAACGCGACCCATATGAAAATACTATTGACTATGACAAATGGAACTCGACAGGTACTCGCATTCGTGTTCGTAAAAATAGAAGAAAGTATACAAGAGAATATTATGAAGTTTTAGGCAAACATGGCAAAATGTACAGACTGCAAGCAGAAGATAAAACTACTTGTCAGACCTCGTTTCAAACTTGTTAAGGTTCAAGGTGGTATACTTTCAAAGACAGTTCCTAACAAATATAAGACAACTCCTGACGAATATGCTAAAGAAGTTGAAAATGACGACTAAGCATTTCTATACCATGCGTAAACTGTCATGTAAGGTGGCATGTAGTCTTTACTTTGTCCCGTTGTTTGCGTATATCCTGTAACGCGATGTGTATGGTTTCCTTCTCCCTGAGTGTCACTCCAGTAACAATTTATAGCAAACTTAACGTCGTCTTTAACATCATATCCTTTACCTTTTGTCATTCCTGACCAATCCCAATATCTATGCTTATGCCAACCTGCTTGAGATGTACTTAAATCTATGTAGTGACTGTGTGCAGGTAAATTTTCACCTGAAATCGTTTTACTTCCACCTGTTTCCTTTGAAGAGTTTGCACAATACAAAAACCTGTCGACTATTTGAGTCCAAGTTCCGAGACCAAGTACTACTTCTGGTCTGGTAGAGTTCATTGACGTATAATAGAGCCTATAGGATATAATGTTTGAAGTATTTCTGTCTTTAATGTTTGAAGCTCTGTTTTGTCTGCTTTTTTATATAACTTTTCTTCAAGTTCATTTACGTCAGAGATGCTATGTCTATGATATTTTGTGGGTATGTTCCTTCTGTCCATGTGAAAATATACTCTTTTGTTGCATCTACATATCCTTTTATCCATGTCGAGTCTGCTTTTGTATTCCTTAACTCTGTAACACCTTTCTCAAGTCTTTCAACTGTTGTCCATCTTCCATTAAACCTCTGGTATGACTTGAAACCGTTTGTGCCAACATATCTACAGTTTCTTTGTCGGCTTTAAGGTCTAAACACCCTGAAACCCATCCTGTATCAGCTTTCGTTTTTAAAATCTTCGATGTCCGTTCATTATACCATTCAACCCTTTCTTTAATTTCATTGTCTTTTTCATCCACATATTCCTTATCTGCCTTCTTCACTAACGCACTAGCCACACATTCTAACTCATCGTTAACATATGTTTTATCTGCTTTCTTTTCAACATCCTCTTTTGTTGCATATGTTGCATCTGCTCTGTCATGTTCTTCTTGAACTTTTTCAATGACATATTCTTTGTCAGCTTTGTTGTCAACATCTGCTTTCAAAAGAAGTTCATCTATAGGCTTCTCGTTTAAAGTTCCTTTTGTTGGATTTATACAAACAGTATGGTTCTTACTGTCTTGAAACAGAAACTCGTCTGTCAATGGGTTTATCGTCAGTTTTAAATTTCCTTCTTTCAATGACTCAGATATCTTAGAATAGTTTGAAAAGTTTGTTGTGTTCTTATTTAGAGCTTGTATAATGAGTTGTCGGTTGTGTTGTATTTTCTCCATAGACGCTGTTTCATTTGACATTTTTATTCTAGATAAAATATGCTTTCAATAGAAAAAGAAAATTCTAGAGTTGCTACAACTAAACCATTAGATGAATTTTTACTAACGTAGGTCAAAAGTTTGAGACAGAGACCGTAAAGCATGAAGGCTATCGTTTTGACTACCCGTTAAGATGGCTAAGAGACCCATCCGTCACAAAAGCTATTGGCTTTCGTAGAATGAAGTTCATTTCAGAAGCCATACATGGTTTCCCATTTACGGTCGCTTTTGAAATTCGATACTATAACAAAGAGAACGTACGTATGAGAAATTTGAACAGGGAAAACTTTTACAAGTGAATTTGCTTGTAAACTTAGAAACAACTCTTCAAGCTTTTCAAGAAAAAATAAACGATATCTATATCGAATATGCAAACCAGTTTAACATTGACGAAGGAGAGTACCATCTCGATATTTATATGACAGGAAAAATGCAACTGTTAAAATCAATAGAATAGAAGACCTTGGAGAAAACGTTTATATTTCTACAAAATATAACAACTTGGCATGGTATAGATTTATGAGGATGTTAAATCAGCCTGCAGAATATCCAGTACACCCGGACTTTTATGAAGTCGAAAACCCTAATGGAACATATGAAAATGTTTTCGACTCAGATGCTATTATAGTTCATGCTTCATTTTCTGGCGCCCAAAACTCTTTTTTATGCTTGGCAAATGACTTTTACGAAAAACCTACAAAGCTATATGAACCACCGAGTGGAAGTATTTCAGACTTTCAAGTATGGTTTACTACAGATGGAAAAGAGAATAGTTCCATTATACCATGCGTTTTACTTAGAACTTAGTTTCATATACAACTACTATCGAACGGTAAAAATATAATTTTTAATACGGTTGAGGTGTTGGATTTGGTTGCCAACTAGACTGTGGTGCAGGTTCAGGCTGTTGTATAACAGGAGCTTGTTCTTCTGGTTCAGGGTCTTTAGGTATAATACCAACGAACTGACCTACTCTTTTGCCAATATTTTTGACTCCGTTCCAAATTCCTCTTCCTACGGTTTTTATTCCATTCCATATACCTCTTCCAACATTTCGAAAGAAGTTTCCAATACTACTGAAGAAACCCATTTTACTATATGTAAAAATCTAATGTCCACCTAGTCTCTTACGTTTCCTGTTGAGTTCCATAGCATTCTTTAACTGGAGCTCATACATTCTATTTCTCCTCTGGTAGAAAACATACTCTGGGTCAACTCCTGTGTTCGCGTCATCTGCATAGAGTTGTTTATATCCCACCTCAGGGTTTGTATAAAACTCTTTCCATCTCATATTTGCATACCATGGTGGCAAACCTAACGCAGCGTCATTTGACATGGCAGTTTGCATTTGTACATCTGTTGGCACTTGACCATAGTTTGCCATTGCAGTTTGTATTCTAACTTCATTTGGAATATTCTCTGGGTTTGGTTGTCCAGGTTGCTGTGCATTCGCTAAGTTCTGTGCGTCCATTTAATATTAGATAAAAATATCTCTTACGAGTACATATACTGAACATTTGCAGGCATTGGTTCATCTTCATATTCTCTATATCTTTCTGCCACGTCAAATAAGTAAATGACACAATGGAAAAAACCTAAAACAAGTAGTCCTATTTCAAACCACATTTACTTACCAATAAAATTTCTTTGTTATGACACTTTTTCCGGTTTATAGGACCTCTCTCATATTCTATCTTGTCATATATAAACTCATAGTCATGTATGTCCTCTAACCATCTCATGACACTTTCCAAACCACTTTTATCGGATGTAAAGTAAAAGCATGGACAGTTATGTAAAACGTCTAAAGTTTCTAAAGAGTCTCTCAAAGTCCAGTCTACTTGGTATTGAAAATCCCATGTGTTATAGAACGGCGGGTCCACTATAAAGAAAACATTTTCCTTGTCTTTATATTTTTCATACAACTCTGTCCAATGACATCTCACAAACTCTATACCCTCAATATATTTTCTATGTCCTCTTTGAAAACATTTGTATAGTTAAGATATAAAACTTTTGACATAAGTGTTTCAATGTCATGAACTCTTATAGAACCACTATATAATAGTCTAGCAGATATACTATCCCAGTCAATATACTCTGCTTTTTTCAAAACCTCTCTGACAGTATTTTTCTTATCTAATGGTATACGTTCCATCTTACCTATAGGTATCTTTTCTTTTAACTCTTTCAATATTTTGTTTGTGTCTGGTATATGTTTGAGACGGTTCATATAGTTGTCGAAGTCATTGCATATAATCTTTGAGTCAGGAAATACAGTATGGCACAAATGGGATATATAGAAACTTCCACCGAACAAATCTACAAATGTTAGACCATTCGGTAGTTTCTTAAGTTCTCTCAATAGAATATCTTTACATCTACTCTTATTTCCAAAGAAGGGTAACGGTGGTTTTGTGAAATTCATTTTATATATATATAATAAAAATGTTTTTACCTGAAAAGTGACAGAAAAGTGACAAAACATGAAAACATATATAATTTGTGAAAAGCTCCTGGAAGACCCGTATATAAGAACTTCATTTATACTAAACATCTTCAGGGCTAGAGGGCACGAAGTGCCTGGAAGCCCCACTACCTTTTTTTTTTTTTTTTTTTTTTTTTGAATCAGTGCACAAATATGCATTTACATGCTTACACTAGCTTGCACTAGTATTAATAATTTTGAAATTAATTTTCAAATTATTCCCATACCTTTTGCAAAATTATTATGCTTATGATTCTAAGCATAGTTAAGCGATCTCGAATTTGAATTGCTCAGAAAAAATAATTAGTAAAAAATTTGTCTATGCATTCTGTATGATGCTACTAACTATATTAGCGGCATACCTAAAATCTTTTCAATATTTTTGAGGGAATTTGAATGGTACCGGTTGAGAGCTTTTTTAATTAAGGTACTATTTCGATAGAATTTGAATGGTACCCCTTCAATTTTGTGAGGGACCCCCTTTCATTTTTTGAATAGGGTACCTTAAATGAAAAAAGGACCTTAAAAATTGAAACGAAAACAGACGTTTTTTAACCTCATTTGTAATAAATAAATCTGGAAGTTCAATGTAAATAAATTTTTAAAAGGTAATAGATTCATACAAAATCCAAAATTTTTTTTTAATATGTGTTCTATGTTAATAAACTTTTAACAGAGAGGATCACTTACACGAAAAAATGATATCTTTGGGGGTAAACAACAAAAATAATTTTTACATATACAATTTCAAACAATACTATTCTTAGAAACAGTTGAAAGAAGTGACTGAATCAGTTTTATGTCATTTTCTTCGAATTCACCAAAAATTTTGGCAGAATCTTCACCAAGTTTTGCAATTGAAGCAGCAATACATGTCAAAGCAGAGAATTTAAACATACTGAGTGAATTCTTAATGACTTCGCATGCAATATGTATAGATTCGTTTGCTTCTTCTTGTTTTGCGCAAACTATTGATTTTGCAAACGCATTTAATTGGTTTTTATCTTGTTTAAGCTCTTTTGCAAAATAAATACAAACGCCATCATTTCCATCACATCTCTTGTGGAAGGCATTCGAAGCTGCACCGCAAACAACTGGATTTTCGTTGTCGTTTATGCAATTTAACAAAAACGGAACAAAGAAATCCAAAAATGTTGGATGACTTCTTATTACTGCTATGGCAAGAAGTTTTTCTTCTATTGAATCATTCTGCTCTAATGCTTTTTGCAGAATAATCTGATCAATATCATTGACTCCGATCATCAGTTTGAGTTTTAGAACCAAATCTGATGTTTTCTGTTCAACAAAAGTATTCTTAAGGAAAGGAATATCATTACATATTGTATCCAAGAAATCTTGTCTTGTATTTACCGGAATTGATCCTATTAAAGCTTCTGCAGCTATTTTAGAACATGAATAAATGTTTTTCATAAGTCTTTTAAGTTCACTTTCCAAAGATTTTGAAAAACCGCAAATAATTATATTCTTCACGACTTTGGAAGATAATTCAGGATCCAAAGGAAGAGAAAGAGCAACTTCTGCGCAATATCTATGGGAGTATATCAAAGTAGAGTTCATCAAATATTTCATTATCTCTAGTTTTCCATATTTTGACGATAAAATATCGATATATTTCAGTCCTCTATTTTGGTCATCTGGTAATTCATTGATGAATTCTTGTATCTTTGGTTTGAAAAGAGCAGCATACTTATTGATGAGAACTGTCATGTATCTGATGGATATTTCTTCGTCTTGGGCTTCATTCATCTCAACAATGACAAAATCAGATAAATTCTGAATTAAATCTGAAACATCTATATCTTCTGTCTCCAACAATGTGACAATATTCTCTATATCTTTGTGTTGGATATATGAGGACAGCTTGTTTGTCTCTGTGTGCTCTTTAATTTCAACATTTGTTGAAACTTTGATTTCTTCTTCATTTGATTGGCAATAGTTCAAATATATGATTTCTCCTGTCTCTGTCAGTTGTTTGCTAATAAAATCTCGAACAAGGTCACTTTTATCTTTTGTCATTTTTCGTAAATTCAATGGAAAATCTTTAGTAAGATCTTGAGGCCATTTTTCAGCGGCAATGATCATTGCCTTCGCGGCAGTGAGTCTGCTGTGGGCTGATTCTACATTACAGCAATTAAGTATCACGGATTTTATGTTCTTTCCCCATACAAATTCAACATATTTCAAAATGCAAAGTTCTGCTGACAAAGAAATAATTAATGCTGAGTGATTCGTACGGCTAAAGATACCTGTAACAAGATTAGCAGTGTTTATATCGAAAGGAGGACCAATTGCTCTAGCAATTGCAGCTAAACATAAAAATGCATGTTTTGCTAGAGTAGATCTTGCATCGAGAACGCAGTTTATGAAATTATCAGCCTTACGAAAGTCACTCGCGTATTGTCTTTTGTCTGCAAACCCTCTAGCATGAGATACCAATTTTGTAAGATTTTCCATTCTGATTGACCAGTCAACATCGCGAGAAAGTTGATTATTGATGATTTCAAAAGGACATGGACGCTTGTCTGGCTGTATATTTGGTAAAGGATTACGAAATTCTTGTATTGTTTGCTTTTCGATTTCTTCTGGTGTTAAATCGACTACAGTAGATAAGTCTGCAAAAGTTTCTGTTTTCTGAGGTGTTTTTCCTGCTAATTTTGCAATAATTTCTGTAAAATTATTCGGAAAATGAGTTTTGATGAATTTTGTCATTGAATTAGGATTTCTGTTGTATACTATGCCGATAATTTCTAATGCTGTCTTCCTGACATCAGGATTATTATCTGTAGTGCAATTCAAAATTACTTCAAGGAATTGCTTCGTTTTAAACTCTGGAAATGTATTTATAGCGTATAAGAAGATCTTCAAAACAGAATGTTTGAGAATTGGTGTTTTGGATTTCGGAATTTGTTTGATATATTTGTCAAAAAATGTTACTGGAGTAATTTCATGTATTAATTTCTGGGATAATTCTATTGCTAATTCTGATGTAGGTCCTTTTATTGATAAAGGAACTTTCAATTTATTTAAAAGCTGTTCTTTAAATGAATTTGGGGTTCCTATTTCGAATAAAACATTGCAAAGTTTAAATCCTGCTCTTCCAGTTGCTGGAAGAGGTGCTTCTATTAAAGGTAACGCAGCTGAACAAAGAATTTCGATTTCATCTTCAGAAAGATTTGCTGTTCCGATATCTTTAATGAGCTCATCAACTGTTTTTGGTATAGAATCAGGTTTTATCTTCTGTAGGCTTTGAGCCTTAATAGTGATTTTGCTCATTAATGACTGTTTTAAATTAAAAATCTTTTTATTTTTGTTCATCTTGTAATGGTTTCCACTTTGCAATTAAGCAAAAATTTCGCTAAGAAATCAGCTTCATGACTTTAATCCAAAGTTCTTTAATCTAATATTGGTTTCACTTTGCATTTTCTATTATGTATGATGATGAAACTCTATAATATTAATGATTTTACCACCAAATCAGAAATATTGAAGATATCCAGAGTTTTTGGAATGATTAAGCTTATTAGCAATATAATTTCCTTTTTCACTTAGGAAAATTGAAATTACTCTTTAAGAAACTTTGAATGAATTTACGAATAATGAATTTGAAAAAATCAATTCTCGATTTAATTAAGCATATGAAGAATATATAAAATATATTTGAAAAATTACGCAATAACCATTATTTAAAATTTGCTGATTTTATCATTTACAGAAGAAAAAATTGATTTAAGTCAAAAAAATTCCAAAAAAATTTCGAATTTGAAATTATCATCATCAAAACATACAATGTTGCATTCATTTTTTGCATTCTGAAAAAAATATGGAAAACTATTTTGTCCAACTCTAGTAGAATCAACAATTCTTGCCCTTCATGGCTCAATAATTCCTTTTAATTCTTGAAATTTTAAAATAATTGATGAAATGTAAATTGCATTAGAATAAAATATGTCTCATTTGATCAGGACTAGACATTACTATGCTGAAAGTTACTTCAAGTTACTCAATAATGGAAAAATCAAATGAAAACACAATGAAACTATAGATTAATAACAAATTGAAGCAGAGAGTTCGCAATCAATTAGATAATAGTGAATAATAAGTTTGTTGCAAGAGTAAAAATTCATTAAATAAAAAAATATCAGTGAAATTTATGAAATATTCATTGATTTCATCGAAATATCACAAGAACATACTCTTTATTCCTTGTTTCACAATCGTGCCGCTTAAAAGTATATGTATCAAATAATAGTTTTCGATGTGATTTAGGATATTGGAGAATTTAAAAAGTGACAAAAATGTTAGTTGCTTGTCTTGCTATGTTTATGAAACCATTTAACGCTTCTAAATATGAAGGCGTTAATTTTTATCAGATGATTGGTCTTGATACTTCTGCATCTCAGAAGGAAATCAAGAAATCCTATAATAGATTTTTAAAACAAAAGAAAAACTTCGTAAATCCAAGCCAAACAACACTCGACATATGGGAGAAAACCGAAGAAGCATATGCAATTCTTGGAAATAACTACTCTCGCGCGTTATATGACTTATTTGGAATGGACTTCCTTGATTCTACAGATTTCCAAGTTGCTGGATATCAGAGTGATGAAGCTATCGAAGCTCTCGTTAAAATGATCGGAAAATACCCAGAGGAATTAACAAATTATGGCGGTATGGCTTTTTACCCAGTAGAATTCACATTAGAGGATTTTATGTTCGGAGCCAAGCGAAATGTTACCGCTGTGCATACTGTTGACTGCGAATGTCCTGACGGAACAGTTGCATGCACGAAATGTCAGAAGCAACCAGTTATGGAAATCATTGAGAAGACAGAAATTGTTCTTCCCAAAGGCGCCTACGAATATCATCGCATAATTGGACGAGGCTTAGGCGATGCTGTAAGTCTTAGAGCCGCATCTGATATTATTTTTGTAGCAACATCAACAAAACATGATAGATTCGAGAGGAAAGGTCGCGATCTTTATACAACAATTAACGTTACTCTTTCTGAAGTTATCAGAGAAGATGATAAAATAATCAAGGGGTTGGATGGTACAGACGTTAAAATACCACTTAAAAATATACAAAACCTGATGGAAATGAGAATTCCAGGTCAAGGATTGCCAGATTATTTTAATAAAAATCAGAGGGGCGATTTGATAGTAAAATTCAACTTAATGATACCAGAAACGCTTACAGACGACCAAAAGTCGCAATTACAGAACCTTCTTCCTACAGATGAAGCTTCATACTTATAATGCCATTTTTATTTACGAAAAAAACTTTGTTGTACTGTATATAAAAATTCAATAATTTCTATCTGTTATGGAAAACTCTTTTTTTGCGTTAAAATATCAATCGGTTGGGGAAACAAAAAGATAAACGTTTAAAAATAAAATGAATAAGAATAATATGAACATTTTATTCACTCAACATCACGTCATCACTCGACTCATTTAAGTTCTTTTCTTCTGCAGCTGTTTCTGTTGTGTCTTCAACAGTTGCGAATCTCCAGCAGCAAATGATGAGAGCAATAATAATTGCAATAACCAAGAGACATATAATAACAATAATGAGAATATGTGCCCAAATTGGCAATTCGTAAATGCCTACAAGATTTCCAAAGTTGAGGATCTTGTTATCGTTCTTAATTCTGCCAATGAATTTGCGCATATTCTTGTTTTGACCATTAAGCTTCCATTTGACATAAGCTCTTGATTCAATTTCGTAAATTTTTTCTGCTGGTAACTCTTTAGGGTCTAGACCAACAATCGTAGCGCCTTTTGTATTGACTGTGCCCTTCTCATCGGTCGAGTTCTGTAATGTAACGTTTGCATTCATGTTTGACAAAACCCGGATGATGTTATGATTTTTCCTGTATGAAACAGTGACATCATTATCGATCGTAACTGGACATGAATATAAATGATATTGTTCATCCCAAATGTCTTGATATGTACCTTCTGTTCTGTTGACTTTGGATACTGTGTATTCTGTTAATAATGAAGTGCTCTTATATGAGGAGAAGTAATATTGGTTATGTCTATACTGTCTCTCGACGTAATCACGGGTTTTGATGGATCTTTCAGCGCCAATAATATAAACTTGCTGCTCTGAGCTTAAAGATGATTCGATTTTGAGGAGTGTTGGGTGAACAATTTTACATGAGTGTGCGCCTTCTCTGCAATATGTTGAAACTCCGATGAAATACTTACTCGATTTTGGTTTTTTGTAAGTAGTATTGTGTTGGGATACTGTAATTTTCAATTTTTCACCAACAATGAAAACAGTGTCAATAGCTAGACAAACGTATCCGTTTGCCGGAACTGTGATTAACTGATATTCTAAAAGTCCTGGATTTACAATCTGATATTGATCTTTTTTGCATCCGTCAATAACACTATCTGCCTCATCAGGCACAGCCATACTCTGATAAGCGCGTTCTAGAAAGAGGAAGAAATACATATAAAAAAATTAATATTGAAAAAGTGTCGTTTGTTCATTAATGCATTTATCCAATAATTATGCTATAATATTTTTATGCCTTATTTCATTTCTCTTATATTTGATAATCTGGTAAAATATAGTTCAGACTATAATCATTTTAGATTATTGATATATTTATATAGGTTAGAATAAAATTGTAATAAACAGAAATTCATCAAAAGTGACAGCTCTCAATTTTTTGACATTTGTAAATTCTAAATTGAATGAGAAAAATGAAATAATACTAAGCATAATACAATATTCTAGATTTAATTATAATTAGGAAAAAGTTAGTTTTGAGAGTACTTTTCATAGGCATATAGAATGAAATCTTCTGAAAAATAATATCACATAAACTCATATTATTTTCTAATATATAACTATTTTATATAAAAATCAAATTCAATGATCTTAAAAGCGAAGGATAAACCTCAAAATTTACGAATATAATGAGTGGGAATAGGCGTAAAGCAAAAATTGATATTCCCACTCATTATATTCGTAAATTTTGAGGTTTATCCTTCGCTTTTAAGATCATTGAATTTGATTTTTATATAAAATAGTTATATATTAGAAAATAATATGAGTTTATGTGATATTATTTTTCAGAAGATTTTGTGTTCTTCTTCAAAATTTTATTTTTTTATTAAAAAGAATCTTTACAAAATATACATTTACTTTAATTAATATTTAAAAACGTGCTCTATCAAAAGTTCCAAAAATTCAATATTTTAGCTTTTCTGAGGTGTCACTTTTGATGAATTTCTGTTTACAACAAAATTAGTTTCATTTTCTACTTTTATTTTGAATTAATAATTTATAATATCAAATATTATGGCGTAACCTCTCCTTTAAAATATAGATATATATAGGCCTATAGAGTTTATTGGCACTCTCAAAACTCTAGAATTTTGAGTTTACTATACCCTTAAATTGACCTTGTAAAATTTTATTGAAATGATACTGTGATAATATCAAATTTTAATTCTCCATTTTAATTTTGATAAAAATAAAATTCTCAAAAATTCTTAATGTTAAGAAAAGTATTAGATAAAGGAAAATAAAACACAATTTAAATCGCAAGCACAATACCAGAAAAATTCTTTAATTACGAAATTGAATACAGCCGAAATTTTATTTATCTCCAATCTGATATATCACTCATTGTTCAAAATAATCCATTTTCTTCGATAATATAATTTGTTTCTGTGTAATAGAATTGAAAAGCAAATATCGTTTTTATTCCATATAAATGAAAAATAGGTTCAGCAAGATATATATATTAATATTTTCTCGAGTTTTTGTGGATTAAGTGAACTAAAAAAAACTTCTATTGAAAATACGCGGCTTTCAAAAATAATTTTGCTCTAATCTTCCATAATTATATTTAATAACGAATAATTGTCAAAAGATTAAACTCGATCTTTTCCCTCAAATCTGAATAAAGATCCGTTGAACAAACCGTAATATTCAAATGACATGAAGATTTTAGTTTGATTCAGCCACGATTATCATCAAAATCTTGAATTAGATATTAAGGATACCCTTACATTGCGTAGTTAGAAAGAGAATATGATATTGTCATGATTGCTAGTTTTAGGCTCCAGAAATGAATATACATCAAACTGAAACAATTGATAAATTGAATGAACTTTTGAGAGGTTCTCAAATAAAAAAAATTATCTAATTTTTTACAATATTACTATTATTTTATCCACATATGTATATATAGTAATTTGAGAAAACTTTTAGGAAAAAATAAGTTTAATAAAAATCTGAATTTTACTTGTTGTGGGATTGTTATTAATTGACACTCCAGACGTATTACTAATAGTTATGCGTATGCAATTAAAGTATTTCTGATGGACAAAATGTGAGATTTATATCAGATAATTCATTTCTACTATTAAGTTATTCATTTATGAGTTTGCACTTATTCGCACTAAATAAATAACTATTAAAAATTGTTTTAATTAATTGACACCATATAATAGAGTGAATTTTGTTTGATCAAACAACAATAGATGATAGATAAAGCCAAGAAACTTGCTATTAATATGCTCTACTTGCTATTTCAATGTAAGTATGATATTTTCTAAATGTTTCGTTCAGATAACTTAGATATTATTAGTCAAAATTTGAAATTTTAATAGCACATATATTAAAAATAATTATTATTCATAAAAGATTAATGAAATAGTAAAAAAAAATCAATCAAATTATAAAAATACAACATTTAGAAGAATTCTTATTATCCTTCAAAAAGTCAGTATTTCTGCTGTAATTTTCTACAACATTGTAGTTATTGCACTTTGTCTATGGATTTGTATATATGTTATATATAAATTATATATCTAAACTGCCCATAAGTGCAATTTTTATATAAATTGTTTATTTCTTTAATAATTTCATATGAAATATGCTTTTTTAAGCGTATCAAAGCTGTGTTCTTAATGTGCATGGATATATCAAGAAAAATGTCGAAAAAAAATGTGAATTCACAAATTCACTGAATTTTCACCGTTTTTTGAATTTTGCTACAGCACTAATATTAAATAATACTAAAATCTTCTGTCTTTGTAAAAGAATAAATTCTGACAAAAAGTGCTCGTTTAAATTTAATGATCATCTGTATGACTAAGTGGTAAAAAGTGTTTATGACCAAAAAAGGGTTACATGCTTAGTCTATTTTTCTGACAGGATACTCTAGATTTACATGATCTCTATTTCATATCTCCGTTTTTAGATTCTTCGACAGATTTTATGATAGAAAACCAAGATTAACAAATTTCCGGCATGTTAATGAAGAAATCTGCAGCTACCCTCAATATTATTTCAATAATCAGTATCGTTTCTCTTACAATTTATTTTTTTCTCAATAATTTAACAAGAAATAACAATACACACTTGGTTTTACGTATAAAAACTAAGTGTCGAACTTAATCAACTTTACTTACTTAGCAAATGAATATTTTTGTGGTTGCGAGTTCTGAATGCTGAAGTTTTAGATTTCTCTATAAATGATATCATTGCACTTACAATGTTGTTCCAGCCTATCGCATAAATCATAGAAAATCCAAAAAAAAAAAATAATATAAAGAAAATTCATGTCATGAAGTTCAAAAAATACCGTGTAACATTAAAATTTGTTATGCATAATACATTTTAGCTATTATTGATTTTTTTTTAATTTTCGAGAAATTGAATGGTGAGTCCGATAGAGAAATTTTTAAAAATCCTAGTGCCTCATAGAAGTAATTTCCCTCGTCTCCCATACTTCCAAATGTATGCATATGACATAAACTTTTATGCATTACACAAATGGCCAATAATATCTATAGAGTAAAAAATTAGAAATTTAATTTTTTTATATGATAGTTATATTTCAGATTTGCGAGCGTAACTTTTTTCTCCATGGCATACTTGTTTTAAGAGCAAATGATCAAAATCGTCCTTCAATTATTGAAGGAGCTGATATCTTTTGAAAATTGAATTGAAAGGGTATTCAATTTTCAAATTTCCTCTCAATTTTGGAAACATATCAACTCTATGAATTAACAATTATGTGCCTTCACAGTTTATAAGTCATATAAGGTGCTTATAAAGAAAAAAGTTACGCTCGCAAAATATGTTTTTATATAGATTTCACATAAAATAATTATGTAATTTCTAAAAAGAATATTTTTGTTCTTGAATATTAAAGTGTATTGTAGTTTAAAAAGTTTTAAATATGTTGCTAAAATTTCAGGTTTATAGCTCATGTCTAGCATGACTTCTTCGTATGCGCAAAAAATCTGACACGTAAGGGTATCCTTAAGAAAGCTCTAACTTTTAATTTAATTAGCAAGATTTTATCTCATTCGTTTAAACAAATCATTGGAAAACTTTTATTGATACACCTATCGTGTGCTAGACTTGAAGTCATTGCTATCACTCTGAAACTGCATCTGCCGTTTATATTTTAAAAATCTAGAAAATACAGGTAAATAAATAAAAGGATGATAAAAGTTCATCGATATGTTTACTCCCTTAAGACGTTTTCTATTAATAATTAATTGAAGATATATATATCTATTATGTTTTACCCTAATTCGATTGGTTCTTCATCGAGCAGAGAGTTCAGTGAAAAAATAGTTAATATATATTATACATTCAGAAGTAACTATAAGAGTGAGACCCATAATTCAAATAATAAACACATTTTTCATTGAATTATTTTCCAAGCTTGATTCATTGGCAATGGTTATTTCTCAAGGCCATTTGGAAGTATATATATTTTTGACATGAATTATTATAGCTTGTTTCTCTTTTTATATATGAGTGAAATTGAATAGATGCAAAATCACATTAATGAATGCCATAAATACTTTTGCTAATTGAACACTATGATACCATGCCATGTTTCATTCAAATAACGTATTTAATAAGATAAAAGATATTAGAATTTCAAAATGATATGGATCTAGTTATTTCAATATCATATTTCTGCCGTTATCTATTTCTACACGCACTGATGATACTGGAAAGTATCGAAACTTCAATGAAACCTTACATTTTCAAGAAAAAATTCATCCATTGAATTATTTTTCCAACGAACTTTTTACATTTTTTATAATTTTTAAAATCATTTTACAATTGGTTATTACAAATATTTTTTACGGTGAAACACATTCAAAAAATCAAAAGATTTTAGATGGATTCGAAGAAAAAAGATGATTTTTCCCATGTGAGAGATTGGAAATATATAATAAAGAATTGGGAAAAGCTAATGAAAGAATCTCGCTCAATAATTATTCGTTCTTTGCGATTAGGAGTTCCAACAAAATATCGCGCAGATGTTTGGGCTCTTTTGACAAATTCACATACTGTAAAAAGCAAGGCGAACTTTACGTACAGTCAACTAGATAAAGTAAATTCAAATTCTTCTCAAATAATTTCTCATGATGTTCCAAGAACAATGCCATCTTGGTCTAACGACAATTCACAGAGATTTTTAGATGAGTTATCAAGATTACTTAACGCTTATGCGAATGTAGATCCAGAACTAGGTTATACTCAAGGAATGAATTTTATAGCATCAATGTTTCTTCTTTATCAGCCAGAAGAACAAGCTTTCTGGTCATTTTATTCTTTAATGTTCCAATCTTCTCTTCCTCATCGTTTATTTTTTATTCAAGATTTTCCGAAGCTAAGATTACACAAGACGCTCGTTGATCGTCTTATCTATCAGAATTTTCCAGACATTTACCATGCATTCGAAGAACGAATGCTTGATAGCACAATTTTTACTCCAATGTGGCTAATGGTATGTTTTCTGTCTGGAAACTTTGGGTTGGAACTTTCAACATTTATTTTTGAACAGTTCCTTGCTTTCGGTGTTGCTCCTCTCCTTTCATTTGGCTTAGGCATTTTAGAAATCCATAAAAACACATTAAGGAATGATGGATTTGAAGAATTACTACATGTACTTACAAATCCTGGTAGTTCTCCTTTAATGAAAGATAAACAGCGGATAAACACCGCATGGGATAAGATGTGGATAACAACCAAAAAATATCATGAGTTATTGAAAGAAGTTATTGAAGAAGAGAAAAAGAAAGACTCACAAATCATTAAATATATTGCTCAAGAAGAGCAAATCCTTCCTGCATAGATTATTTTATATATATTTGTTGTAAATTATTATAAAAAATTATAGTAGTTATTAATTGTCTTCAACACATTCATAAACATAGAAAAAACAAGGACTTTCACACTTGTGCAAATTCAATTTAACGAATATAAAAATTCAAAATATCTGAATAAATGAAAATGGCAATCAAATCATTGTATTTAGTTCCATTATATCTGAATCAAAAAGAAATCAAGTACAATCGTTCTAATTAGTGTTATGAGAATATTAATTTTGACACGTAAACTGACAAAAAGCAATTTTTGAGGCCATCGCAATGAATCAAGAAGTTTATCGAGCATCAAGGTGCTTTGATCTTGTTTCAGCGCGAAAAAACTGTGAAGAAATCGAACTTGAGCTTGGAGATTGCAGTTCTGTTCAGATTGATCCAAAATCTTACAAACAAATTTTTAAATTTAATTATGAATCATTAGTTTACTCAATTCATGACAACACAGTTGTTGTTGCTGATTTGCGATCAGGAAAATCCAGATGTTTTAAATTTAATCAACAAATTTTACCTTATCTTGAACCAACAACAGCAAAATTTCATAAATTAACAGATGCATATTTAATAACGAACACAGGACTTTTGTTTGCTCTTGGAATGGAAGGTGTTTCCGCTACAATGAAACTCCCATTCATTCCAACAGCGTTTTGCCAAGCGAATGATAGATTTTACCTAGGCAAGAATACAGGAGAAATATACTGCATCGAGAATGGCGAGGTTTTATTCATCGCAAACAAACAAACATCGTTCATCAAATCAATAATAAACAAAATTCACCCATCAAACTCGATTCTTTCGATGGAATCATTCGATAACAGCATATACGCTCTCACAAAGGACTCGAAAATCTATACAATCCATTCAGAAAGCGGAAAAATAATCGAGACAAATTCATTATGGAACAAACCATGCATTTCTGGTACTATTAAAGTGTTCTTTGACTCAATAGTGATGATATTACGCAATGAAACATCATCAATTTTGAAAGTTTTGAAGAAATCTCATCAAGATTTTTCAATTGTCTTCGAAACAGAGTTCCACAACATCCTTGATGCTACAATAGGTAAGGACTACATCACAGTCATACAAGGAGACGCTCCAGATGTCTCTATCTGTAAATACAACCTCGAAACAGGAAAATTCGTGGCTTCTGAGTGGTCGCCGTTAGACGATTACGATCTTTACATAAAATACCAATTCCCGACCTTAGAAAAATTTTCAAAAATTGACATCGACGAAAAAAATATGATTTCGCCAAAATCATGCGCTATAGATAACAACAACTTCACTTACATATCATCAAACTCATATATTTACATTCTCAGACCTTTCTTTGAAATCGAAAATATTTTATTATTTATGAAAGAGGAACCAGAGCTAAATTCACTCGAAGGAGTCACTACAGCAATGCTTAGACTCGTTCCGAAGCAAATATGGAACGAAATCGATGCAGAATTGAAGAGTGGATCTGATCCATCGAAAATCTTCCAAAAAATCGTAGCAAATCTCGATATCAATGCTCCCAAACAGATCTCTGAGTCCAAATACCTACAAAGATTAGACGAAATCATCAATTTGATCCATATTCCAGCACCAAATGAAGAATTTCTCAAAGGAACGGATTACAGTGTATTCTGGGCATCAGCAGTATCACAAATAGCACGTGCAGTTGCTTTTTATTCCAAATGCATCTATTTAACGACACTTTTCCTCGAATCAAAGTTAAATTTCAACGTTGGAACACGATTGAACAGTCTTTCGACCATTGTAGAGTCATTCACGAAGCTTTCAGTTATCATAGAAGGCAACAACTTGTTCCAACTCCGTATTTTCGAACCATTAGATTATCATGAGAACAATTTCAACGAAGACTTATCCAGACAGATACGCCAATTGCTACATCCAACCAATGTAGCTCAGGCACTCCTCGAAAAAGGCCTTGCTTCCACTGTAATTTCGTATTTACATTTATTCAATGGTCATTTCATCGAATACGGACTTGCTCTTGTCCAATTGAAGCGATTCCCAGCTGCTGTTGCCTATTTCGCTGACCATAGAGACGAATTCGACTTTACTTTGATTTATAGATCGACCATTCTTGAAATTTCCAAGTATGATGACACTTCTGCGATCAAATTCGGTGAGTTGATCATCAATATCGACAGACCATTCATTTCTTCTGTCATTTTCATGTTGTATTGTAAAAATGGAATGACAGATAAGGCTTTAGACATCGCTTTGAGCCTTCCTGAAGACAGGGATGAAAAGATGGACATGATTAGAATGGCGATTTCCCAGAGTGTTACTAACAACGACCTCAAGAAACTCACGAAAACTGATTTCGGAAAACTTTACAATGAAATTGGCAAAGAAATGTCAGTTTTATCGTATAAGACACTTCCAGCTGCAGCAATGCTTTACCAATCCCATGGAGATTTTTCAGAGGCAGCTTCGATTCTTTACAGACATGGCCGAGAGTTATTAAGAATGAATTCTCTCTCGGCGATGAAAGAAGCGATGACTAGCCTCTCGATGGCATCATCTATCATGGAAATGAACAAAGATATCGCTGTAAGAGATGTTTTCGCAAATCAATTATTATCATCTCAAAAAATTCATCGAATTGTTGAGAGATTGAGGGTCGTATTGAGACATCCTGAACCACTTGAGTGCCAGAAGATGTCAAATCTTGATATTCTTCGTTTTGCGAAGAAAGATGATTTCGAATCTTTCTTAAAATTCGCAAAAAGTGGTGTTCCGACATTTGGAGATGTCGCAGTTATTGCCAAAGAGATCGCTTTGAACAATGAAGACTCTTTATTGATGAAATTATTGCAAATAGATAATTCTGAATGGCATTTTTCACTACATACAGCTGTTTTGACATCTTTTATATCTGCAAAGATCGAACCACCACAATGGTTCATGGAACAGATCATAAAAGTTGCAAAAACACAATTTGTTGTTGTATGCGCTGAAAATAATGCAAATGATGTACTTGATAAGGGAATACAGTTGATGATTGAACAGAAATGTGTCCTCCCGCCTCCTTTCAATGCTTTGTTATCGCAAATTGGAGTGAGAAAAGATTTTATAGAGAAAATTGTTGATAGTATTTAAGATTTTATTTGAATATATATATAAAGACTTATTATTATATTAATTCAACTCATTTTTTTTTATATTTGAAATAATCTTTCTTCAAGTCTAGATTTTACTATATAATATACAGTATTTCTATTAAATTCTATTAACTATTAATCTCATTATCATACAGGATAAAAGACCGCTTTTAGTCAAATTAAAAAGGTGAATCAAAATTTTCAAAGTCTGGATTTTGCATAGATTCGAAGCCATCAAATAAATCTTCAAGGTCTAGACCTAATTCTACATCAAAGATACTTCCTTCAGCAGTTGAGGAATCGACTTCATTAGGATGAAAAGTTGTCCGAATATCTGTTTCTGTAGTAGTCTCAATATCAGGGAATTTAGCGAGGATCTGTTGTAATCTATTTCTAATCATCCACCAACTTTTCTTAGGTAACACAGCCTTAAGTGCCTTTGGTTGATGAATTCCTTCTTTCAATTTATTTAGGATTATTAAGTCTTCTTCTAACGAAAATACATTAACTATACCTTTCCAATATTCATTTGTTTTTTCTTTGACCTTACGCTCTTTTATGTGTGTCACGGAAGCGATAGTTTTCGTACTATGACCAAGTTTAAAAAGGCTTAAGACTGTTTCAAGCATTTCTTTACTGATAAATTCTTTTTTCGATGTCCTCAGTGTCCTGTTTCGCCTCATCAAAAAATGAACAGTTGAGAGGATTCAATATAGTCTCAATCGGTATAAAAATTGTGAACAAACTAACGTTAATCATTTGTTTTATCTTAATAGATATTGTTAGATATGCAATGTTGTCCAAATAAAAATTATAAAATATTTGACAACATTAAATGTCAATATTATCAGAAATTTGATTTAAAGTGTTAAATTAGAGAAAACGAATATATTTAACTTTTAGACAAAAAATTTGCTCCCTACAAAAATTTCTGAAAAATCACACTTTGAATTCAGAAAAAATGATTTTCCAAATTATTATTTGCAATTGAGAGGAGATTAAAATTTTTAACTCAAAAATCTAAATATATTTTTCAAGTATTATTTTCAAAACATTTAAAAGATTAAAGTTTTGCGTTCATTAAACGCATTATCACAATATATAACAAATAATAATATCATTATTATTTAGAAATATTCTATGGTAAAATGTTAAAAATACATTCATTCATCAATTATTCTGTTTTTTCATGCAATTATTCTTAAGGAGTAATGAAACAAGTTTTTTTCAAATTTGTAAATTTTTTATTTTGAAGAATATTAAATGGGATGATCATATTATTACGCAATAGTATGATTCGAATCCTCTTTTAATAACATTGTAATAATCCTTATTGCTATTGATTATAAATATTGATTTGAACAATCTATTAATTTTTAATGCCATTCTATTAAATAAATCAGTTGAGTATTAGTTGGTGGATCTCACAATGATTTGTTTTATGATAACAAGCTGTTTTGATCTAATTGCCGTTGAAATAAACATGGATTTAAATTTCAGGACAAGTTTTGAAAGATCATATAGAAAAGCTCATCGGGCAAAAAAAAAAGTACCGAATAAATTATATATTTATTAAAATAATATTATGTAGACAAGCTATAATTGCAAGGAGGTTTTTTGCGACTTTGTAAAATATTTTTCCATCTTTGAATTTTGGAAAAGAGTAGGGGTAATTTTAGCTAAAAGTGACACGCCTGTAAAAAGTGACACACCCGTGAAGGGTGTGATTACCGATCGGTAATTTCGACAGTTTAGAATTTAAAATTTTTTATGGAACTGTTGCGAGTTTCATAAAGAATTTAAGGAATATAAGCAAAGATTTGAATCAAAATCTTAGACCTAAGCCGCTCGATTCGCTCGCGGCTTCCGCGAATTACAGATCAGCAAAGATTTGAATCAAAATCTTCGAACTAAGCCGATCGCTTCGCTCGCGGCTTTCTTTATTATTTTAAATTTGCATATTTCCATCAAAAGTTCATAAGGTAAAAAATTTCGTTTATATTATATTGCAAAATAAAATCTTCATTATCAAAATAATATTAAATAATAATATAATATAATTTATAAACAACTATTATTTAATAAAGTTTAATTGCCATTTATAAAAATTTATGAATAAAAACTTGATATAAAATAACATTTTTATTTTTACTAAGAAAAAAAAAGGTTTTTGATAATAAATTTAATTTATTTCGAAAAAGTAGCAATAATCGTAAAAGGGTATTGATAGGCTTGCTAAAGTAACTAATTTTAGCTGTCAAATACTTTTGTATTTTGAAGTAAATTAGTATAAATTTGTTTTTACTTTTATTTCGAAAAAGTAGCAATAATCGTAAAAGGGTATTGATAGGCTTGCTAAAGTAACTAATTTTAGCTGTCAAATACTTTTGTATTTTGAAGTAAATTAGTATAAATTTGTTTTTACTTTTATTTCGAAAAAGTAGCAATAATCGTAAAAGGGTATTGATAGGCTTGCTAAAGTAACTAATTTTAGCTGTCAAATACTTTTGTATTTTGAAGTAAATTAGTATAAATTTGTTTTTACTTTTATTTCGAAAAAGTAGCAATAATCGTAAAAGGGTATTGATAGGCTTGCTAAAGTAACTAATTTTAGCTGTCAAATACTTTTGTATTTTGAAGTAAATTAGTATAAATTTGATATTATTTTAACTCCCTTTGAAAACCTCAATTTTCCATACAGAGGGAACGGGAATAGCATCCAATATTCCCTGAGAATGGTTGCGCATTCTCAGTTCCCTCTATATTTCGAACGAAGCTCTCATCGGTCTTTTTTTTAATACTAAACGTTTTTTTTCCCTGTCACTTTTAGCTAAAATTTGGTTTTGCCTTTTGGAAAAATACTCATTCAAAATTGTAAACTCTTTCAATCTCATATACCTTAAGGGTGCACCCGTATGTACGTTTATTTGAGAGGAGGAGGATTACCCTCTCAATTTTGAGGGATTCGTTAGTTTATTTTCTCGATGAATATGCAATAAAATTTGATTTTTACCTTATCAACATACTTCATATAATATACACATGTTCATGTAAAAACTTTTTTCCAAAATCCTCATGAATTAAGGGATTTTTGAATTTGAAGAATTTTTTTCGAATTTTTTCGAAAAAAAAATATTTTCAGAACAGCCTTAACGGCTAAGATTTAGGAACAATGTTAAGTATCAAAAAGAAAGGAGGTCTGATATAGACAACATATATCGTTGAAGGTTGAAAAAATCTCTAATATTTGAGCCCAAAATTTCAAATTTTAATTTTTTGAAAAAAGAGGCCACCCGTATGTACGTTTATTTGAGAGGAGGAGGATTATATTTTTGAAAGGGTGAAACATTATGAATATGTTAATTATATAATAATATGTATTATTATAAAAAAGAAGAAATAAAGCACGTTAAAATTTTTCTTTCTTGATTTTTTACAAAATCTACTTAGAATTATGCAAAATATGACTAAATAATTATAAATTTCAAGTTAAATTTTAATTTTGATAAATAATTTAAATTTCAAAATGTCAAGTTCAGTTCGACTATGTATGTAGTAATTCCTCAATAAAGTGCCAAAACCCTATTAAAATATATGAACATTTTCAACATTTTAATGTTTTTATTTAAAAATTTGATGGAATATGAGCTTCAAACAATTATTATGTAAATAAAAATAATTAAATATATGTATTTATTCGTATTACAACCGTAGTAAGTCGATTCTTCCTTTCTTCTACTGAGGTTTGAATTTGATTTCGAATTGTAAAGAGATTCAAAGGGAAAATACTAGCGGATAAAAACTACCTCCATGAAAGGGTCATAATGGAGTCAAGTTGTATTTTTTGATATTTTTTGCTTTTCGAGCCTAAATAGGTAGCCAAGATAATGCCTAAAAATAAGGTTCTAAATTCTGAAGTTTACATGATCCTCTCGTGTGTACCCTTAAAATTAATTATTTTCCATCTCCCTAAATTGGAGCTGGATTGAATTTCTAAATAAATTAATATAACAAGTAAACAGTCCTAAAACACTAAAAATCAAAATCAACAAATCATTGTGAACAAATCATAATCAAATATTTATAATTTTTATTAGCATAGTTGTATAATATTAATCTATTCATTTAAATTAACCTGTCGTGCTCAGATTTTAATCAATCTGAAATTTTCAGAAGAAGGTGCCAAATCTTACACATTAGTCGGAATTTTTATGATGTTTTATAGAAACCGAGTTTCAGCGTAAAGTGAAGAATTCTTTTGAATTTTGAAATTTAAAAATTGTTCAGGTATGAAAAAAATGTTGATATATCATTTGAACCTCAACCACATATTGAATTTACCCTTCACAAATGATATTTTTTTGCCCACATGACTTTTTCTTTAATGAATTGAAGAAATTCAATTGAATATCTAATATTTTTATGAATTAATGCCAACCCAATATTCCAATAATTACAGAATTATATGAAAGTTTCTTGTTTAATAAGAAATTGGAAAATAAATTCCACATTCAAAATTTGAAAACAACGTTGTTCTGACACTTTCAATTATTTTCATCAGTTTAGATAAATTATTTTCTTCAAAAACAGAGTCCTAAAAATTTAACCATATGAGAGAATAGTACTTCCAACAATAATGCAAGCAATTTAATTGATTTTCAATAATTTCAAATTTAATTTATGATAATTGAATGGCCTTGAAGATAGACCAAATTGCCTGCATTAATGTCAAGTTAATTTTCTTTAAAATGTGGAACAAATATTATATTTTTTTTAGATTTTTGAAAAAAATATCTTAAAAGATTTTTTATTAATAATTAAAATGTGATTTATACGTTTCAAGATTTATTTACATGTTAGAATATGGATTGGTATTTGGATTTGAATAATATGGATTTCTTTGCACAAGTTCTGGGTTACTTGACTGGTCCATTGGTGGTTGCATAGGAGGAATCATTCCACCTTGTGATCCATAAGGCGATCCTTGTTGAGGAGGATAACCCATTCCGTCATTACTGCTATAGGGAGATGAATTTGGTGCAGGATATATTGGCTGAACACCTGGGCTTGGATATTGTGGTTGTGGATAACCAGAAGGAGGAGTTGGGTAAGATGGTGGTGGTGGAACGGGTCCATTCATTCCCTGGTTGCCGTAAGAGTAAGGAGGAGGCATCTGTGGGTTCATTCCTTGGCTTCCATATGGTGGCATCATTTGTCCGCCGTATGGATTTTGACCTTGGTTATATCCAGGTCCGTATGGTGGGTATTGAGGCTGCATTCCTGGTTGTGGAACATATGCTGGTGGCATTTGAGCAGCTGGTGGTGTTAATCTGCAAGTAAATCTTAGTTTACATAAAATCTTTGATTGAATTTCTGCATGGGGGATGTCCATTGTATTAACAGCATCTTCCCCTGTGCGAAGACTCTCAACTTTTATGCGGCCACGGCCAATTGGACGCATCTCTTTACCATTTGGAGATAAAAATGCAACAGTAACGAGCAAATATGCAGGGCCACTCTTTGGACGAGGAATTATGTTGTTAACTTGCGAATTGAACACAGTTAGAACGTTAAATGGAACACATGCTGTGGATTGAGGTTGTCCGTTGACAAATGAAAATACAACCCATACAGTAGTTCCTTGAACAACAAACTCCGGTGAGAAATCCGCATTCATAACATAGGCTGAGAAGCCACACGGATAATTAATATTCATCAATTTCCGATGAAAAATTGACACAATTCTGAAGTATCTGAAATAAATTTGAAAAAATTTTTGTAAAATTTTTCTATGAATCAGCTTACTTGTTTAATTTTAATAGGCCGATTTTAAAAAGTGACATGATTTTTTTAATTTGATCAATAAAATTACACCCAATCAAGAAAAATTATCCTGCATATATCAAGAAACTATAATCAATAACATTACTTTGAAGTATCTATGGCTCAATAATCATTCCTAGCATTTTAAAATATGACTTTGCATTCATACTTGATTCATGCTAAAGCGGAAAGAAAAAGAATTGTATTAATAGTCATCACAACATACACATAGGATTCCTATGATATGTAAAGTGAAACATTCATAAAAAACTTTATTTATCTTTATATCTTTGTATAAATGAATGTAGAGATTCAAACTATTTATCATACAATTTAAAAGGTGTAAAATATCTTAAAATACAACATATCTTCTTCTTTGTTAGAGAAATTTAAAAATAAATTTTAATTTTTGTAATTGAAACCTATTAAATTTAAGATAAACTATTTAGAACAATTTAAAAACAACCTGTCAAAGGAATACATGATTAAAATTTAATATACGTAATAAAATACAAAACACAAGACAAAAAACAACCAAATGAACATGGAATTAGAACTTAAGAAGTGTCATGACTTTCTTAGGACCAACCTTAGGTTTGATTGGGAGCTTATTATTAACCATTGCGGTTTTAGTATAAGCTCTTGTAAAACTGAGTGCATTATCAACTTCATTAAGTACCTCGAATATTGATGATCTTTGTTCTGGGTTCTTTGCTAGCATCATTTTCACTAATTTGATTGTTGCGTAAGGAGTACATGGAGGGATATATGGATCAGCTGAAATTATACCCTTAGCTATCTGCTTATCCGTTCCATTCCATGGGAATTGACCAAAGATCATTGAATAGAAGCAAACTCCAAGTGCCCAAACATCAACCTTCAATGGATCATAAGGCTGACCGACTAAAACTTCAGGAGCCATGTATTCGAGGGTACCACATACAGTGGTTCTTAAATTTTCTTGTGTTTGAACAATCTCATAACATAAACCAAAGTCAATTAAGATTGGCGTTTGGTTGGGCGATATCATTATGTTTGTCAGTTTAATATCACGATGTGCAATGTTTTTGCTGTGAAGATATGATAAAGAAACCGCCAATGATTGGAGCCATTTTAAGGCAGATTGCCAAACAAGGGGACCTTCATCAAGTATTTTATCATGTAAAGTACCGAATGGGTAAAAAGGCATCACCATAACGATGTAATTTTCAAAATATAACACTTCTTTGACTTCAACTATACCTGAATGCTTTATATTTTGAACAACGCGCAATTCTTGTTCGAGACGACCAAATAAATTGAGTTTAGTAATTTCTTTCCTGTCGAAAATTTTGCAGGCGTAAAGTTCATTATCTTTTTCATTTAATGCAAGTACTATGCTGCAGGATGTGCCTTTGTTCAAAAAATCTTGGACTAAATATGAGTTGAATCGCTTTGGAAAGTCCATGATTGTTAATGATAAAATTTTTCATTGAATATTTTTTTCATTGATTCATTATGTATGTATACATATATATCTAAATATCAATAACGATCTTATTGTGAGAATTGAATGTGCTATATAGAATTTAAAAAACGGTTATGATATGGAAATAAATCAAATTTCATATATGGCGTCAATTAAGCAATTAAATTTACAATAGCATAATCTCACAATTTTCAATTTGAAAAATGACATACAAAATTGTTGGATGATATTTTTTCTAAATTGAATCCTTTTAACAAACGTATTAAAATTTGATTAATTTTACTTTTGAGAAGTATTTTTCAAATTGATAATCTCGGCAGAATAGAATAAGATTCTGATGATTTCTCTTCATCGTTATATTCGATAATGCATATCTTAGTTTAATAATACTATTTTCAGCTGCCTGTCTGAAATTTTTATCAAAAAACAATTCACATATTTACGTTGAAGTAAAATGGTACATATAGACATTGACACAATCAACACATGACTCGATTTTAAGCTTAATTAAGGCTACAGTTAGAGTCGGACTGAAATTTCATTTCAACAACAATCGAAAAAGACTCAAAGGCATACATCGATGGAACAGATAAAATAATGTCTTTATATTTTGAAGATCAAAAAAGCCAATAAGACCAATCGATTGTTTTTTTTTTGGATTTTGAATAAATGTGACAGGTTTACAAATTTAATTGAATTTGAATATAATTAAGGGTGCACACGAGAGGATCATGTAAACTTCAGAATTTAGAACCTTATTTTTAGGCATTATCTTGGCTACCTATTTAGGCTCGAAAAGCAAAAAATATCAAAAAATACAACTTGACTCCATTATGACCCTTTCATGGAGGTAGTTTTTATCCGCTAGTATTTTCCCTTTGAATCTCTTTACAATTCGAAATCAAATTCAAACCTCAGTAGAAGAAAGGAAGAATCGACTTACTACGGTTGTAATACGAATAAATACATATATTTAATTATTTTTATTTACATAATAATTGTTTGAAGCTCATATTCCATCAAATTTTTAAATAAAAACATTAAAATGTTGAAAATGTTCATATATTTTAATAGGGTTTTGGCACTTTATTGAGGAATTACTACATACATAGTCGAACTGAACTTGACATTTTGAAATTTAAATTATTTATCAAAATTAAAATTTAACTTGAAATTTATAATTATTTAGTCATATTTTGCATAATTCTAAGTAGATTTTGTAAAAAATCAAGAAAGAAAAATTTTAACGTGCTTTATTTCTTCTTTTTTATAATAATACATATTATTATATAATTAACATATTCATAATGTTTCACCCTTTCAAAAATATAATCCTCCTCCTCTCAAATAAACGTACATACGGGTGGCCTCTTTTTTCAAAAAATTAAAATTTGAAATTTTGGGCTCAAATATTAGAGATTTTTTCAACCTTCAACGATATATGTTGTCTATATCAGACCTCCTTTCTTTTTGATACTTAACATTGTTCCTAAATCTTAGCCGTTAAGGCTGTTCTGAAAATATTTTTTTTTCGAAAAAATTCGAAAAAAATTCTTCAAATTCAAAAATCCCTTAATTCCTGAGGATTTTGGAAAAAAGTTTTTACATGAACATGTGTATATTATATGAAGTATATTGATAAGGTAAAAATCAAATTTTATTGCATATTCATCGAGAAAATAAACTAACGAATCCCTCAAAATTGAGAGGGTAATCCTCCTCCTCTCAAATAAACGTACATACGGGTGCACCCTTAAGAGCTATGAACAACATCTTTCAAAATATTTCTAAAGATCGGAAAAAATAAAGACTTAAATAATTGACTAATATATTAATGATTTTTTCTTATAATGATGGTATATCATTATAAAATAATTATAGTTCCTATTCTATGGTTGAGCTTGAGACTACTCTATTTGTCATTAGGGAAGTTTGGAAAATACTTAGTCTCCAATTTCCTCATTATTTAGTAATTAAAACACTATTTTAGAACAATTAGGATAATCTTAATCAAGTATATTCATATTGGATGTTTATCCTGAATAATTTATAATTGATTGAATGACACCTATTAAATATTATAATGAGTTTATTGTTGGATAAGAAATGAGATCTATTGAAATGTGAGTGATTTTATGTAAGATAAATATGGATATAATGTATGTTAATGATAACAATATATTATATTCTCCACATGCTCAAATAAAAGTTATTAAATTTAGAGATTTAATTGAAATAAAAATTATTGATATTTTATATGGTGTGATCATATGTGTACATTTTGTAATAAAAACATACATTGTTTTAAAAAAATACATGAAAAACAAATATTTCAGATCAACATTTAGAAAATAAATAAAGTTTATAAAGTATTTGGTGATCAAAAATTTTGTTAACAAAAGTATTGATTTAATAATCTTGAAATAAAGGTACATGCACGAGACTTCCCAACGATAGATTTTCAAATAAATAGGATATTTAGAATCAGTAGGCTCCAAATATGAATAATATGATCTTATTTTGAAAAGTTATTAAGATAATAAAAAGATTTGTGAATTATATTTTAATTTCCCTAATTTTTATCAATTAATCATCAAATTATGATTTATATATCAAATGTAATTTCAAATAGAAGTAAAAATCAATATTCATATTCTGTATTTTAAATTGAAGTATTATTGGAGCTTTTGAATGTAACTATACCATTTCCAGCTTACATGAATATGATCCATTATGTAGTATCCAGTTTCTCAGCTAAATAAGAGATTTGAATATTAACTTTTGAGGATTTGACTGAAAATAGTATAATGAAAATGAGTCATTACAGAAATATTTTATATTCAATAAACCATTTTTCGTAAATGAGAGTTCTTATCTTTTATCAAAAATCGCAAGAAGTCTCTTGAAAATCTTGGAGTTCCTTAAGAAACGATATTATTCAAGATGCATGTCGAGACAATTTAATCAAATTAATCAGAAATCGAAGCAAAACCTCACATTTATTAATAATTTTAAGTAAGATTTAAAATTCAAGATTAGAATGTCTACTGAATGCTAACAAATACGAATAAAATCTCATCTCTCGACTAGGATATTAATATGAAACAGGTTTTCGTTTAAATCTAATATAAAAATGAATAAAAACTCAACTTTTACACTTTTTATTCAAGTATTTTACTAATATAGATCATGGTTTATCAATACTTAGTACTATCTTTTTTGAAACAAATGAGAATAAGGATGATATTTGTGATTTTAAATAATTTTTTAAGATTCGTCTTTAATTCATCACATTGTGAGATGTATAAAGCATTCCCATAACTCATTCTGCTTAATTGATCAATTCAAAATTCCAAAAAAAATTCAAAAATTCAAAAATGAAAATCAAAAATCTGATTTTTCTCTTGAAAAAATCAATTACAAAAAAAATTTGGAAAATAAAAGTATTGTATAATTAGCCAAATCGTCAAATTAACACGTTTTTACTCATAAAAAACACCTAATTTTTGATTTTGATATCATATTTGATAAAATGTCATTTAAGAGTTGATATAATGTCATCATTGTTGATGAAAATATTAATACTATAACAAAATTCTTATTTTAAGATAGTAAAATAATAACGTTTTTATTTCAACAACAACAAGTAAATAGATGAATGGATACGTACTGTATTCGCATAAATGTAGTAACTATCATCTAGATTTGAGTTATGAATATTCCAATCAAAATGTATAAATTTGAAATCAGAAATATCCAAAGATTATGTGAGGCACTGTACACTAATTATAGAGGTCATTTTAATACATAAGTAACTTATATAATAAAACCGATTTTTAATTTCTTATTGCAATGATTTCCTCAAATCTTAGTAACTTTTTCTATATTCAAGTCATTTGAATATGTATCATAAGGTAAGTAAAAAACCAAAATTACGAGGAATTCTGTCGTTGCATTTTGGAGTTGCAAAATTTCGATTTTTAATGTGGGATTTTAGCATGTGTAATCTTGTTCTTATCTCAACGCGAGGGTATAGCTGCAGTATGATTTAAATTAAAGAAGTTGAACTTAAATTGAATAATACTGGAGAATAACTGACAATGCAACTAATTGTATATTACAAGATAGTTGCCAATTGGAGTAATAAATTATTCTGCATCAATCATTTCTTTCGTTTCTGGCATGGCGAGCAGAAAGAAAGCGATCAGTAACCCTAGGAAAAAAGAAGAGGGGTGTCACTTTTCGTGAATGTACCTTTCTTGAAATAAGTTCACGATTTAATGAAAACGTGACGAAATTTTTGAAAATAATATTTTTTTCTTACAACATATGGATAATGGAGTCAACAAAGGACGTAAGCCACCAAATGCATATATATTATACTGCAATTCCATCAGGGAAGAGATAAAAAAGGAAAATCCTGATATTAGCACTAACGAAATGATGAAATTATTGAGTGACCGCTATAAAAACGAATCACCAGAAGTATTAAACAAATTCAAAGAAATAGCCGCTAAAAAGCAAGAAGAATTCGCCCAACAATGTCCTGAATATTCCTACAAAAAATCAACAAAAAAGAAAGTATTTCATTCCAGCATCACAGATCCAGTTAATGCTCTGAATGACAGCTTCAAAAACAATGCATTCACCCTACAGTGCTTGAGTAATCAAGCAATTTCAAAGACAGAAAAAAAGGAGTGAATTTGGATCAATTTTTTTTATATTTTTGTATTATAAAACATATCTTTTTAATTCTAAAACACACAATACAATTGTTTAAAAGTTGTTGATACGATCAACACAACTCATAAATGTGAATTTCTTTCCAAGAATATTTTGATAGTCGCAGTTGTCGAGATTTGTCTCGCATATGCCAAGAATTCCTTGGAAATCGTTAACAAACAAAAAGTCGAAGTCAATCTTCTTCTGGGACTCCTTAGATCTGGAAATTTCCTTTGCCAAGTCGACATTCGAGTTAATGTCAGCCATGAGGATGTTCGGATTGACCTTCTTCGAGTCCTTAAGCAATCTTTGCAATTTGAGAAGACAGAATTTTCTGATATTCGTAATAATTTCTTCGTGGTACCATCCGTGGTTTCTATTATAGGAATCCAACTTCATCTGGGACATCTGAGTTGGATAACTATCTCTTAAGTCGCAAATTTGGACGGCATAAAATAATTTATTTGGAATTGCGTTTAATGATGAGATTCCGGTAGGAACTTCCTCATTTCTTGGTATATACTTCGATGTTCTTGTTATTCGCTTCGAAATCTCATCCGCATATTCCCATGTTTTTAATGAGAGGACAATTGTCTGATAAATGGATAATTCCTTCTGAGCAATAGGGTTTACACCATATTTGACCCAACACATCTTGAATGGACCGTTTCTAACGAAATATGCAACACAAGCCAAAGTATGGAAGAAAACAGGGGAGTTTTCGTTCATTTTCAGGTCGGTAATGACTGATTTACTGGTGGAAAATTTATCGAAAATGGCCAAAACTGTCCAAATTGGTCTTTCATCGAATAAAACTTGTAAAAGCGATAATAATTCATGATTGATATCGGAAGCGGGTTCTGATGGTGATGGACCATTCTTGAGTGTAAATAATAACTGCTGATTGATGATCCAAGGGCATTCTGACTTCTTCCAAGTCTTCATTTGTTCCTGCTGAGCTGCAAAGATACGACGCTGAATGTACGATGCCTTATACTTGTAGTTATGAAGGAATCTTTGTGGTGGAAGGTACAAAAAGCTCTGTGGAGGTGGATCAACAACTGTTGGCTGATTATAAGGGGATTGAAGAGCAGGAAGAAACTGAAAATCACTTGGTTGATTAAATTCGAAAGTTTGTGATGATCTTCCAACGAATTCGGCAACGTATTCTGTTCCAATTAATTGTTTTTCGCCATTTACAATTTTATATTTTCTTAAACGCTTAATTTTGAGCAATATGCAGGGATCATCTGATGATGAAGATGAAATTTCGTGTCCTAACTGATCATTTGGTCGAAAATTAATTTTTAACGGAGTATCTTTAGATGTGATTGATTGAAAAATAGCATGGCTTCCACCAAGCATGTTTACAGCTTTTTCTATATTCTGAACATATCCAGGAAAGTCTAATCGAGTTAACTCCATTTTTTAGGTAAAAAAGTGACAATTATAGATGAATCACCAGAATCACATAAAATACTCAATTATCAGAGGTTGTTTCACCAATCAATTGATGAGAAAACATGAATAGGACTGTTTTTGTTATTGTGATATGATAAACATATGAAATATTAATTTTAAAATTTGATTCTACATTTAAGGAATCAGGAATATGATTTCTCAGTTAATATCTTTGGAATATCCGAAATTCAGCTCATAAATCTCCAAAATTCTCTAAAAATTTGTTAAATCAGTGACATTACCATTATATTATGTTTGCTCATGCTTAGAACATTCATATTTCTTGTTCTATCATGGATATTTGTATTTGTTTCTAGTATTAGCATGAAATTGAAAAATATCTCAAAAACATTTCTTCAGATAATAAAAGATAGACATATATTTTGCAATTTTATCATATAAAACATCATAATAATAACATTTATAACAAATAACAAAATCTATTAAAATATAAAAAACAAATCTATATTTTTTCTTTACCAATTCTTAGTAAAGTCTTTGTAGTTTCTAACAAAATGAGAAACATTAGTAACAATAGGTGCTTCTTTCAAGAAAACATGGATTCCTTCCATACTTGTCCAGTTTCCTTGATTTACAGTATCAACAACCCTCTGAGTGTATTGAACCATCAAGGTATAGTTAGTAACTTGCGGTTCTCTTGACTTATGAGCTCTTCTTGGATGAATTACTCCAATTAAGAAAATATGTAAGTGAGTACATAAGTGTAAGTTAGGGCCATCATTAATACTTGAAAAAACAAGACACATTCCGCACTTTTCATGCATAAAAATTGCATTATAAATTCCAGATCCTTGTAAAGTAACAAGAACCTTGATACTCTGCCAGTATTTAACAATCTGTTCAACAGGAACTCCGAAAAACTTATCGTCTCTCACCCATTTGCAGCCTTTATCGATAACTGTGTAATCATTAAGATATTTCAACATTAATTTCGGATTTTCGAAATTTCTACCAGATTTAGGGGGTCTGTCAGCCAAAACAAACCTTGTTGGCTTGATTTTATTAAAATCTACTTTTTCCATTATCAATTTTCGCATTCTAGTAAAGCCTCCACTTGCATATCCATGTCCTAATTCAAGTGTATGCACAATCCATAACTTTTTAACATAAATTTGTTCATCTTTTTTCATTTTGAGGAAAGTAATGTTCAAACCGAGGTATTTAACAAGATCTTTGACTGCTTTGATCGATTTCTTTGGACTGGCAACAAGTATTCCCTTTTCCATTAATTCTTGAGGTACGAACATCATTGAACTCAAAAAATCATGAATGTAATGGCCATACATATGCCAGTATTGTACGTAATGGAGCATTTCGGGTATTACTCGATCGGATCGTCGTAAAACATTTCGATAATTTGCAGGATAAAAGCCAAATAAGCGAATTACTGTATCATTTTTAACTAACATCTCTCTATGGTATAGTACATCATACATTAATGAAATATGTACAATGCTTTGAGTCGTAAAGTATTTTGGAATATCAAAACATAAATCATAGTGTTCATTTGTAATTGTACCATATATTAAGTCTTTAGGATCGATTCTAGTAACGACTGATGTTGTTTGTACGTCCGGAAAATCATACCACCATTGACAATTTTCGGATAAAGTGTGATTATTCTCATAAACTGAGAAATTTGGATAACATTTAGGTAGAATTAGATATACAAACATCTCAAGTACAATAGTTTTGATCATCCAATCAAATCTATGTACTGTTCTACGAAACATTTCCAAATTTCCAATTTTTTTTTATTTTTGAAAAAAATGTTTGATTCTAATATTGCCAAAAATGTAAAATCTATGCTTATCACACTTTGGATTCATCAAAAATACAATTTTTAAAAGCTTCAGATTGATCGTGATCGGGCTATTAAACATCATTCTTTCTAATGGATATGGGAAAAAAAAAAAAAAAAAAAAAAAGGTATTGGGGCTTCCAGGCGCGTTGCGCCCTCTAGCCCCGAAGATGTTTAGTATAAAACCGCTTTTTAACTTCACTTAAATGCCACGTAAGCTACGTAAGAATATACGTAAGAGGAAGAGAGCATTGAAACATCCAATAGTAAGACTAACACCACAACAACAGTTGCAACAACAAATGCTGAATGACCCCACTATGTTGCAACAAATGTCAAGCAATCCTATGCTTTTAAACCGAGTTGTTGGTGCACAGAGTGGAGGTTTAAGAGCGGCACTTTTAGCGAAAATGGCAGGCTATGGTGGAGCTGCAGACGGAACAGCATATAACCCTCAAAGTCAAATGAATTTGAGTTCACTCAAAAATCAAATAGCAGATGTCAAAAAGTCAAACATAGACATACAGAAGCAAATAGGTGAAAACGAAAAGAAACTAGAATATGACAGACACACAAAGAAACTCAATGAGTTAAACGTAGAGAAAAAGAAGAAAGAAGAACAACTGAAAGAACTAAGTACAGAGGAATATGCGAAAAAAGTGTCAGAAAAAGCAGCAGAAGTAGCAAAAATGGAACAAGATGTCATAAATTTGAAAAACCATACTACTCAATATAAAGTACTGAAAGATGAAGAGATAAAACAAAAAGCCCTGAAGACATATATGGATAGCGATGAGTATAAAAAAGAAGTTGAAGCAAATGTAAAGGCAGAAAAACTTTTACAGTTGCAAAACCAAACCGTACAGTATGAAAACTTAGCACAAGAAAGTAAAAATAACGACGCAGCCATGCAAAAGGCAATGAAAAGCGCAGAATATATAAAAGCTAACAATGACTGGTTAGATGCCCAAGCCAACGCTAAAGCAGCCCAACTCATAGGGTCAATAAGGACAAAAATACAAGCGGATGAAGACAGTTCAAATGAAACTTTAACAAATGCTGACTTTAAGAACGCCTTCGAAGCTCTTCATAGTAAGGTGAAACAAGTGAACGACTTCTCATCTGGAAAGAAACTGAAGTCTGAAGGTTTCGACAAAGAGTTAAAAGAAGTAGCACAAAATATGACGAAAATAACAGATGCAGCAACGAGACAGGCAGTTCAAAGTGCCTATGACGCCGTTAGAGCAACTGTTGTGAAAAGTCAAGAAAAAGAGTTACAACAGACCAAAACAGACCTAGTAAATGCTTTCTTAAAAACGAAAAGTCAGGTAGGACATTACGCTGCAGATGGAACATATGTGCCAGCTGGTGGAACTTATATACCAGCTGTTGGAATTTATATACCACCAAACCCTCCAAGAGAAGCACCTGCACCAGGACTACCTAAAACATTTACATCGTCACATGGACACAGACACAGGCATGCACCAAAACCAACACAACAACCAACAGTTCAAAATCCAGCACAACAACAACAACAACCAACACAACAACCAACAGTTCAAAACCCTGCACAACAACCACCTCCACAACCAGCACAGCAACCAACAGTTCAAAACCCAGCACAACAACAACCACAACCAGAGCAAGGACATAAAAGAAGTAGAGAACAAGGAAACCAAGAATTCTTAAAAAGGCTTAAGGAAGACTATGGTTACCCAGATAGTATTGACTTTAGTGACAGATATAAAGAAGCTATTAGAAAGTTCAAGGATGGAAATACTGACCCGGACCTATTTAGCTTTATGGCTCAGCACCAAAACGGATATAAATTCAAACCTGGAAAATACAAGCTCGCTAAGGGATATGATTTAATAGCATATCATCCAAATGACATGAACGAATTTACTCCGAGATATTTGATGTCAGAGCTAAATGACAATTCAACTCCCGTCATGAAACGCGTAAAAAATAGAGACGGAACGAAAGAAGAAAGGTTTATGAGTCCGGATGACTTAGATAGGGAAATTGTTGAAAACGGTCTCGGAATATATGAAATGCCAGCAGATGAGGTACAAGAAACTCCACAGGAAGAACTAGTTCAGATACAACCAGACATGGAAGAAATAGTTCAGCAACAACAGCTAGAAGAGCCTGAAGGAAACGAACAAGTCACTCCTTTGGAAACTAACTTCACAGAACTAGATGAAGATTTGGAACAGCCGAAAAATCTTGACCCTCAACAAGAGTATGCGGAGAATATGGAATATTTCCAAGAGTCTAAAAAAAATTCGGCTGACATAGTAGAAGAATATCGAAAAATGTTTGCCGACATACAAAAGACTCCAACACCAGATGAAAATATTCAGCATAGAATGGAAGCACTGAAAGAAAATGTACACAAATACAACAACCCTTTTTACTTACGAGCATTTAACGTTCAATCTTTGGATGAACTCGGTGAAAATAAAAGGTTAAATTTCAAGAAAACATATAGAAATGAAACATTGTTTAAAGTTCATTCAGAACCTAACCAAGATGGAAACAAACCTACTTTTGTTTCTGCAGACGATGGAACTACAATGAGATGGGGTCATAAAGCTAACCCGGATAGGTGGTTCATAAACTTACAACCACAATTCCAAGAAGTTGTAGACGCAATGGAAGTCAATGGTGAACCAGATATAGCTGGTATTTTAAGCGCGGCTTTAATGCCATTGAAAGATATGAAACATGCAGATATTTTGGACCAGTATGAAATGAACATGGCTGATGGAAATATAACACCTGACGTTCTAGAACATTTATCTCAAAGAACTACACAGAACCATAGAGATGGTATATTTGGTGAAGAGTTTAGAAAGAAAGTTAGGGAGAGCGAAGGAAGAGAACCTATTGTACATGACCTTGCAAATGAAAGTTTACAAAATGTCATAAAAACTTACTTTGCAGACAATGAACTGAGAAGGGATGAATATTTAAGAAAACTCAAATGGACAGTACCAAATGAAATGTTAGTATTGAAAAACATGTTCCTTGACAAAATAAAACCAACTACAGAAATAAACGACGCAAGACTGAAAGATTGGGTAAAAGCTTTCCCATTCACAAAAGATATAGTTGGTAACATGGAAAGAAAACCAGAATGGCTACAAAAACATATATTTGGAAACGAGCTTATTCCATATGGACAGGCACTGTTTGAAGAGCTTGAACCGGAAACTCAGGAAAGAGTCATGCAAACAATACGCAAAGACTCAAATACAAACTATGACAAACTCTTTCTAGGATATTGGTTACCTGAGATGGGCGACCAGAGCCCAAAGGCAAAAAGGACATGGGAAATTTACAACATACTAGGTGAACATGAGGCAAAGATGCAACAACTTCAAGCAGAGGGCAAGTTACCAAAGCGACACCAAAGAAGAAGAGTAGAACAAAGTGAAAGTAGTGAAGAAGTAACTTCATCTAGTGAAAGTAGTGGCAATGAAGGAAAAAGAAGAGTTAAAAACTCAGTCAGGAAGAAAGTAAAGCTTGGTCCACGTGGGTTCTATTATGACACATAAACCCAACTATTCTATATTTTTACCCATATGAAATGTACGCCGCTCAGAATATAACGCCAACAGTTTTGGATGCCATGAATGGAAATGTTTCCGAATGGTATAACGAATGCGACAATGCCATTAGAAGGTCAGAAATAGTTCCTGGAACTTACGAATATACAACTGCTGTTTCTTATGGAAATGTAGGTGAGTTTGGAGAAGGTTCTTCAACAACAGTAGATATTGCTTGCGACAGGTTTCATATAATTTCTATTGACAACTCATTCTTATACGTGGAACAAGACATTGAAATAAAACCTTCTGCCAAGTTGTCTGACAAGAAAGGTTGCAATGGAATTTTCTATGTCGGATACCAATATGCTCCAGAAGTTTTCATGGGATATAAGATATATTCTAACTCTGACTTAGTTCAAACAGTAACATGGGCAAACTATGAATGGTTCGCTTTGAGAAACTCAGTACAACCACAAGCTAGAGAACAAACAGACCAGTATGCAACTATTGAGAAAATAAGAAGACTTGACCCTAACGTTCCAGGAGTTTATGTTGACCTTTCTGGACAAACTGCAGCAGCAGTAACCAAAGTAAAACTGAAACTTAGAGTTCCTTTGTCATCTTTCCTCATCTTCAGGTTTTTAAGATACTTGCCAAACTGGGCAGGAAAAATTTCTATCGAACTTACTCCAAGCAAAAATAACTTAGTCATTGCACCAACACAAGACCCATTCACTCTTACAGACGTAAAGGGAGCAAATCAAACGTCATTCGCCGACTTTTGCAAAGACAAAGTTGACTTAGACTTTGGTTTCTCAAACCTCAACACTGAAGTAAACTACTACTTCAATGCTGCTGGAACTGCTTGGGACCCAGTTAAGTTCACATGCGAAAAATTTGAATGCAAGAGAATAGAAAGCAGACTTGCAGTCTATATGTTGGACCCAGATATTTCAAATGCTTTAGCTGCCAAATATATTGCAGTTCCGCTTATGTTCCCTATACACCAAATATCTGTCAAAGACTTTGCAGGTGAAGTTGGAAACCAAAGTGCTGACCCAGGTGCAAGAACAGATATTGCTTTAACAACTGCAATGAAACATGCAGATACTATGTTTGTACTGTTCAGACGAACTATAAATGACTATTCTTGTTTCTACAACCCTGGTATTAAATATCATATAAACATAGATGGCAAATACTATCCAAGAGAAGAATATTCTACAGTTGAGGATATGAGGTCATACAACTTGACATTAGATGCTATGAACTTTAACAACAACTTCACAACAACCATTAACCCTGAAATGCAAAGTTCTATTATGCCATATGTGAAAGTATGGACCCATACAGGAGCTCAAAACACTCAATATACAAATGGAGACCGTTCAAACTTTTGGCTTGGCATTCCATTTGCTGACTCAGAAGACTTTATGGGTGGTATTTCAACTGTTGGTACAGTTCAAATACAATATACTGGTGACAGAGACGGCCCAGATGAATTGAAAGCAAAGAAGTTTACAAAACCAATAGCACTTTTCACGGAAGATGCTCTTTTGAAGATTCGTTCGATGAAACCTGCTGGGGCTCCTCAGATTGGTATAACGACAGCTTCCATCGAGCAGATTTTGGCAGCAGGTCAGTAAGTTGTTCTTGAACTGACTTCTCTCCGTCAAATATTGACAGTACGCCAGTTTTGATATAATATTGTATTAAAAACTTACCTTTAGAAATATCGGTCAGTTTGTTGTTATATTTTTGTCTGCTTCAAGAACTTTCACCATTTCAGTTATAACCAACTTTCTTTGCTTATGAAAATATTTTGGTTCAGCAAAGACTGCTATTCTATAACATTTCCATTGTTTGTGTAAAGAACTACTCTGTCAATGAACTTGTATTGTTTGTGTGTGTAAACTTTGTTTTGCTTCAATTCGAAGAGATACTCAAATACGTCCATCTTTTTATTCTAAGTAAAATGTCATTTCCGAAAAAAGAAGCGTAAGTGTTTCAAAAGGTTTAATGGCGATGGCAGATGTGAAGTTAAATTCACCAACTCAAACAAACAGTCAAAGTGTTGTTGTCAATGTCAAAGACAGAGATGTTGAAGGGGGAAACCATACGAAGACGAAGATGGTATAACAATAGTTCCTGTAAAAGAACAACCAACATATCCTGAAGTTAGCAGAGACTTAAGTTCTGTTGCAGATATTCGAAATGACTACCAAACACTTAAAAACAAACTTAAAACTCAGGAGAAGATTTGTCAAGCTTTGGGTATAATGTTAAACTTGGTTGAGCACAACCTGTAAAAGTGAACTCATATTCATTGCACCTCATGAAATTTTGAAAGAACTATTGAAACTTTTGACAGAGGCAGACGATATAAACATCAAAGAAATAGAACCCGACATTGCTTGCTGTGGTGTTTCATATAATGTCATTGACAAGATATACGTTATGAAAGGAGGTGAAACGTTGAACTTAAAATATAGTTTCCCAGACGTCATAAAAATATTTGACGAACCACAACATTTCATTAAAATTTACTTGCTAAGTAAATGTCAAAACTTCTTGAAAGATGTTTGAAGAAAAACAATATAGACTTTATTTCATGTAAAGGACTTTACACACTTTTGAACGATATGAAAGACCCTGTTTTGTTTGTTCGTGTAGACAAAGGAAAGTTCTATGTCTTTACAAAATATTTGAACTTCTTAGACAGAGAACTTCAAGAAACGCCATGTGAAAGTTTAGATGAAGTTCTTCTCCACTTTCAGAAAAACTTTTAAATATATGTAAATGGCAGAAGACATAGTGGTTTATACTATTACGACTAAAAACCCTGAGTCATATAATTCTATAACAACAAACTTACAAAGTCCTCAAGGACGATATTGTAAACTGACCTTAAACACGATGACGACTAAAGCCTGTTTTGCTCTTTTGACACCAGAAGACTTTGTTGTTGTGAATGGTAAAAAATACTTCTTTGAAGATACTTACTCAGATATACCACCAACAGGTTTTGTTGACTTATTTAATACTTTAAGGACGGATGTAACATGTGCTGCAACTAGAGCAGGTTTCATTATGTTTGGATGTCCGACTGAGTTTAGTATAAACGATATGAGC